GGCCCGGCAGCTCTCTGTTTACAAGCCTAGTAGAGACAAACTGTTTTCATTGGTTGTTTCAGAAATGTTGTGTGTTTGAGGAAATGGGAAAAATAGGTTTCATGGTGCAGTCACGCACTTCCTGGTCACAAAACGTTCTGTAAATGAAAAAATTATTCATCATTAAATGTGTTTTTAACATTACTTTTATAAAGTTTGAAGTCCGTGCTGTCCAATCCAGCTCACTGTTTTTTACAGAAGCCCTGTGAAAGCATCACAGCTTTGCCGATCTCAGAATGTTAAAAGAAAAAAATTCCTGTATCCGCATCATGACCCGGAACATCACCAAAGTTTAAAGGTGTGTTCCTTGGCCCAGTACACACAGGTGGTAAAAATGTCATGACAATCAGTCCACAAGTTTTTGAGTAATGTTGTCCACAGACAGAACGACAGAACGACCGACAGACAGACATATGCGACCGACAACATTACCTCTCCCTTGGCGGAGGTAATAACACCAAAATCATGTGATCTAAGGATGAGGGATGTTATTGTTGATGTTTGTTTAGGTGAAATCAGGAACAGGAATTTTTTGTAGGATTCTTCACTATTGCAGGATAGGAGAAACTGACCTTGGTAGAGGTTTGCACCCTCCAAGGACTTCTAGTTTAACTTTGAAGTGATGTTTTGTCAAASTATTAATACCTGTCAGACAGAACATCACATCAAACATGACTGATCCTTTTTTACAAGAAAAACAATGCCAGTAAAATGTTTTTTGTCACGGTTCAGCAGCTTTAGATTATATGGGTTATGTGTTTTTGTGCAAAATACATGAAAGCTGAATTATATTTAAACTTAAAAATCATGTTTTGTGACCTGTTGTTGTCTAAGTTGAGGAACAAGAGCTGCCGGAGTCCAGTAAAGGCCTTAGGAGAGATTTTCTGGATGCGATTAAGGGAAAGGTCCAAAACCTTTAGGGCAATTAAAGGTTTGAAGGCATTCGATGGCAGCATTGTCAGTGCATTAAGAGGAAGGTCCAGTTCTGGCAAATTCCTCATGCCTGCAAACATCTCAAGTTTGAGAGTTCCAATCTGGTTCCGCCCCAGCATCAGAAAACGAAGGTTCAGTAGGTCCTATAGAAACAATAAGCAGATGCTGTTGTTAGATTAATAAAATGTAAACATAAAGATTGTGTCCATTACTTTACAAAGTTGTCACCTGAAATCCCCTTGAAGGAAGAGTGGTGATATGGTTGCCATAAAGATTAAGAAGCATCAGCTGCTTTGCACCAGAAAAAGATTGTGGATGGATGGATTTGATGGCGTTTTGTTCCAGGTTGATGCTTTCAATCTTGGGAACTGGTCTCAACATGTTGGCGTTAAGACCTGTGATACCATTCTCACCTTTTAGAATTGAGAAAAATAAAGGTTAGTTGTTCAGCTATGTGTACAAATAAACCACTTAACGTTTCGGCTTTCAATTTAAGTTAAATTTTCATTTGTTCAACATTACATGTAGTGACGTATTGTTTGGTCCCTTATATATAATATTTATTAATAAATCAGTTAAAGTACAAGAGTTGAAAATGGAATTCATTAAACTGGTTTTGGTACCTTGTTTTGATTTTTATCTTTTCTTATCTTTACAAAGGGTTTGGAGCTCTGGCTGCATTAGTTAAATCAGTTGAGCAAAGGTGTGTTCGTTTTAAGTGTTTTAAGTGTTTTAGGGTCAAACAGGCTGATGAAATGTTGTCATCTGAGGCAAAACAGGTTTTTTTGTTTGTTTGTTTTTTGTTTTGTATGAGAGCAGCTAATAAGCCTGAATATAACCACTGACATCTTAAAAAATGCAGAAATAAAATAATGGTTTATGATAAGACAATGAAAGTCTGTTTCAGCTGAATTAATGAGACATACATATACTTACAGCGGGTAAAATAAGTATTGAACACATCACCATTTTTCTCAGTAAATATATTACTAGAGGTACCAACAGTGAAGTTTGGAGGTGGGAACATCATGGTGTGGGGCTGTTTTTCAGCATATGGTAC